AGATAATCCTTATATTAAACAATATGGAAAATGTCGGTATCATATCGCTATTTTAAATGTGGGTCAATAGCTATACTTGAGCACATTCTTGCCATTTGTGTTGTATTCCCCGTGGGGTTTGAATAAATAAAAAAAAACGGGAAAAAGTCCCAAATTTTACAAGAAAAATTGCCGCGGAAAAGGAAAATCGGCAGACTGCCCACAGCTTACCACAGTATACGCAGCGAGAGGCTGCCGTGTCATTAACACAGGTGATCAAATTTCATTTACTTTTACAATATATTTTCATATCATGTTGTTCATAAAACCCAAATAAAATAAATATGTGAGTGATCGTCACTTGGCGCAAAGATTAAAAATTCATGAAAATGGGGATTTTCGTAGACAATTGTTGCCATTTCCGCTGCGAAGCTGGTCCATTTGAGAAATGTATTCATTTTTGCGTTGGGGTAGGAGTAGACAATTTTAAAACTAGGGGGGTACGGGGAAGGAAGTAAATAAATTGTAATATTTCCACACCAATATAGAACAATTGTTTCTCAGTGTGACAGCCAGTCCTTTTATTCTTCATGTGGAAAGTGATAAACACTAATAGTGTTTTGATTCCGTTATGATAAACAAAGATTCCACTTGATGCGTATGAATATAAACTGTTATCAAAATATGTATTTGTTGTGAGGCAAAGTATTATAATATATGTAAATTATCTAATTTCCATATAGTAATTAGAAGTATCTCATTTGTTTTACTTTCCTCGTAGTACAACAGCTCACTGTTGATAGCTTCTTAAGGTAGCTCATAGGTTTATGGCATATTTTAGAATATATACACATCATAAGTCGAACGTTCCGCGTAAAAATGTATAGTTAATCGTACCAGTCAACCAGTATATTGATGTTTTTAATAATGTCAGTCTGTTTTTGTAAACAGCTGTCATGTATTATAAAAAAAAAAATATTTTATCAGCGAAATAATATTTAATGTCATTCAAAAAAAACAAACTACTGTATTGCAATACTAATACATGGGTAAATTGACTGGAAAGTCTATATACATGTACATGTATTATATATAGCAATTTTTCGCCATATGGTCACCTGGCAAAATGTTCATTGCGAAAGGAAAGCAATGATAATAGCCCTAAAACATACACCATCTTGTTTTAACTCCACTCCAATTTTTGAATACGATAATCTCATACTTTGACTTCCGGGCCACATTGGTAAAATAATCTTCCTTAATGTTACAGTTAAGCGTTTTTAATTTTTACAGCCAAGATTTAGCTAACAGTTACTGCCAGAATTTCTCCCGACTCAAATATCACTAACCATAAACTTAAGGTCTATGCACCAACTTAGTCTTAAAGTTCAAGACGTAAAATGTGCTGATTTCCAACGGTCAAATAAATTGAACACGGGTGGCCATGATCAATCAAATCAACATTCTTAGGACAAGTTCTATTCCTATTCTACGGACTCACTGTTCATCCAATGATTATTGGTGATAGTGCAATCGTAGACTGTCGACAGTCCTCGGGCATAATGTAATTGTGCATCCTAAACATTCAAACGCCGAAGGCGCTTGATATGAAATCGAAGCAATTCCCGCGAGAGACTTTACTCCTAACGGCACTCCATACTTCCTGTCCCGGCGTTCGTAATTTATTCACACTTATTACGTTTATACACAATATTTATTAATAATAACAGATTAATATTAGGTACAACTGACTGTTGACAGTCTATGTAATTCGTTGAAGACTGCAAAACGTCCATTCGTCATACAGAAATATGTTCATAAAATACGAGTGAGGCAAAAATCTATCCTCATGCAGGTGACCCTATAACGCTTGCACTTGTTACGGGATATTACGGGTATTTTCATCATTGAACACAAGCCTTGTGGTTTGCAGGAGCATTACACGTGTAACATATAAAATACGTGGTGAATTATCTTCAACACAGCAGGCCAGGTAGACACACAAAACAAAACACCCTATATATTCAAATACAATTCAAGTTCAGTATTCTTTGTTCATCCTGTTTTTGTGAGATTAAAATTACTTTGCTGAACCTACATATTTGTGTACCTTTTCTGTTTTGCATAATTTAAGATATTTTTATTTCCCACTCTATGGGAGCTTATCATTTTTCACAGTGTCAGAATCGAAACATCCCCCACAACTCCCATCAATTAACAAAATGGCTCAATCCTTAACAAATCGCAGACAGATTGGAAAGCTTGAACTCATATGTGCCGTTCTGGACGGGGAATTGGGAATTTTTGAAAAGTCTCAGAAAAGGAGTCTACGATTTCAGCTTTCGTGATTAAAATGATAAGTGTAATGCTTAAACATCACTTAAAAGCAACGCTCTAACCATAGAAATCATTAATTCGTGGTGGAAAAGGACTCAAATTTTACATAACAAAAAACAACCATTTTAAGTGATGCGAGTTTTCGCAAAATTATCTAAATGAGGTATCGCGTTTTGTTCTTTGAAAGGGGAATGATCTGGATGTACTAGCGACACTCGCCTATCATTTTTCACCCCGTTTCCGCATCAAAGGTCAACTGACATTTCTAATCGAGTTGTTCCATGTGAAAAGAATACTTGTAGCGTGATGCGCTCATGATTGCAAATTTGAGATCAAAATGAAATTTCCGATTGTATCTTCTTGAACCAATTAGGCACACTCGACAAGTGCGTTTGATATACTAATATATGTTTTGTAAAACAGTTGTTATGGCAAAAGTGTGACTACTGAAGCGTCGCATTTGGATTGCCATTCCGGTCAACACATATGTTAAGTTTACGTTCAACAATAGAATTGGAGTCCGGTGGATATTATTGGTGACATGATTCTCAGTTATCGTTAGTGGTATCACGTGTTTCGTGTTTGATTCAATACAAATATTTTCTAACGTCCTATAGTAACACGAATATAGTAACAAGAATAACCTTTGGTAATAAATATGTTGTTGTTGATGTTGTTTTTGTTTAATATCGTATTTTGAAGGGGTCAAATAAGGGGTGAAATCGGGTGAGGGTGGAGGATTTTTTTCCAAATACTTATTCACATCTGCGACGTTTTATTCACACATGCTAGGTTGTATTCCCACACATAGTGTCATTTTTTTTTTTTTTACAAATTATTCACCAACAACAATTTGTTTTATCCAAAATCGTCCAAGCCCGCCAGGTTCGGACCATTAACATACTTCATTTAGTGGCCTGGTACCTGTGGTAGTTAGGAGTCAAACATTAGAAATCATGGGGGTGGTTGGAAGAAGCTGATCAGTGCATGTTTTCCCTGCAAGCACCTTGCAGGATTGTTATTCTACCTGTGCCTCAATTGGTCGAACCCTTTTCATTGCTCCGACACATTGTGAAGTTATAAGTAAAATCAAAACAATGTAAACATAACAAAACGGTCATGCATGATAATTTTGTAATCCTAAATCGAATCAAGTTTGTACCATAGATAAACCGTCATTTGGGACACGAATACGTCAACGGAATAGCACGGTTGTTGTTGGCGTGAATCCGTTTGTCGTACTCAAAACTAGTATATGAATTTCTCGCAGTTTTTTTTTTTTCAAATTTGTGATTTATTATTGAAATTCTTATCTTTATATTTTTAAATCCAACCATGCACCTTCTCAATTCTAAGCAACGTTATTGTTTTTGACGGGTCCCGAGCCGAAGGCAGACTTCTGGGACATCTAAGTTCTATAACTACGCTATTCAACTTGGTAGATAATAAGGGCAATGACATAAATATGCAAATCAGCCGTGGTGTCAGAGGAGTCCAAGTGTTTGGGTTATTTGTATGTCACGTGATCCCAAAATTACTGGCGCCGACGCCAAACATACACAAGTAAATAATATATTTGTGTTTGCATTGTACCGCGGCAACGGTCACGCTGGGGGTATTGGTGTCCCGTGCCGCTGTATTACGTAAACTGGTAGGGTGCACTGGCACTGCGGTCAAGTTGGGTGTACGCTTTAAAATACAAGGTTTACGTGTGTTATGGAAAAGTTGGCCATAAACGTCAAAGCCGGAACACTCGTCGACAAGTATCGCACTGTCCGACTCAATCGAATTGTATAAATCCGCCTTTGTGTGGGCTTGTTTCACGAATCAGCTGCGTCATTCTGCTTGGGTTATTGAGTCAATACTAGTAGCAGCATATATATTGATGTGTATATTTCGATCACAGTCGTATTGTGATATAGTTTACACTTCGATACACAGTGGCAAACAGCGATAAAGTTGTCACCCCTGTGACTCTTTTACAAACCACCCCTATGAATAATGCAATAACTTCACGACGCCTCGGTCCCTTTCTCAAGTGTTCAGTGACTGGCGCCACCGTGGCGTCGGGCTTGGTCCTGGTCGGGCCAAAAGGCGACCGAGTAACAATACAACTACTAACTATTGCTGAGAGATCCGATCACCAAAACTTTGAAGGAAAAATGTCAACTTGTCTTGCAAAAGTAGTTCATAAATAATAAACTTTAAATATTACAGCGCCCTCATTATTTCTTTGGCAACCCAAGCAAGCTTAAATACGTCGGTAATGTAATATTTTTCCCACACTCATGTTATAACTTCTTCATAGTTTCAAACGTTTTAGGGATTAAAAATAAACATTTTCTGTCCTTGCTCTTTTACGCATTGTACTTGTGCCTCCTGTCTGAAGTTGATTTGCTCTCTTGGAAAATTTCCTTTGTTTTTATAACTGGCGGAACTACACCTTTCAGACATTCCATAATTTTCTTATCAGAGTGAGTTTTGATGAATAAATATATTATTTAGATCACCACATCAAAGTATCGAAGACTTTAACCATTGTACAACTGGTACAAAAAGGTCGGTAAGTATGGATTAAGCGTCGCTGATCGATTCTATTCAAACTCCAGAGGGGGTGCGAATGGCATATAGACGCATCTAAGTGACGTCACAGCTCATTAAATGCGGATGAACAAACTATAGGAGGTTGCAGTTATGGCGGCTATGAGGGAACTCTGGTGTCTACTTTTTAGGATTTTTACAATATTTCTCATAGTTCTCACGATATCGAATGGAGGTATGTGATGTTTATAGATTTATTGTTACATAGTTCGCTAATGCGGACGATTTCACGAGGTTTCAATACTTGTGTGGTTAAACAAAATGTGGGGTCAGTCGCATTCGTCGAGTAAATGTATGTCTTTCATTTTTCTCAATTCGTTGACGTTTATCGTGATCAAACTGTAAGATCTTGTAAATCAGCCACAAGCTCACCCAGTGTAACAACGCTTGTCAGCCATGTTATGCCGGCAAGATCTAAATCCCCAAATCTGTGTAGTGTATTATTGTTGTTTTCGAACTGCTTCGCGTGTCGACTTCCTGTGTGCCTTGTGTCCTATGTGGCTGCTGAGGCGCTTCGCCGCTCGCAAGTAGTGGGGCCCTTTCTGAGGTGAGGTGAAGTCAATCTGAATGGACTAGATTTGTATGTTGCATGGACACTTATCCAAATTAAATGGCGGTGTTGTTTACCGAGATCAGTGTTTGTGTTGGTTGGTTCGTTTATCGCGTTGTTCCTCATGAATCTACGAAGGATGGTATCATAAACTTAGTCTTTCCTCCTAGACCCATGCGTCTTTGTTTAGTTTTGACTTTTTGTTGGTGCCTTTCACTGGGCCGTCAACAATGACAGACAGTTCTGTCATTTATAATTTCGCGTATGCATTTCTGCAGTCCTCATTATGACTCACACCGTGATCTTATAGACTTCTGAAGCCTTATATGCGACAACTGAGGGCGAAACCAGACAGTGCTGATTTTTTTTTTGCTGTCAACTTGTCAAATGTAGTGTACCGCTGACGACAATCTGCCATAATGCGCGCTATGATTACGCGGACCAGTCATACTGTACAACAAAACACGTCTGCAGACTACACCCGGGACTGGATCGTTTCATTCTAGTTCGACAATTTTGATTCATCATGGAGATTGATCGTAATTGTCTACATTTTTATGAAGTGGCGCATGATATTGCTTCGTATCTGAATTGAGGGATGTCCCTGTTGCAAAGTAGTTTGAATCAGTTCATCAGTCTCTCAATAGTTCATAAATTTACTTGAATATATTGAGTGTGGTACATAATAGCATAACGTCATTTTTATATTAATCAAATTATATATGTATTGTTATTAACACGACACGTGTCTAGTAATTAAATAATCCCACTATGGAAAAGGTTGACACTTCTCAATTTTTTGGTTTAGGACCCCTATCATTCATGGTAATAACAGTTAATATGAATATATCTAAGGACGATCCATCAGTTTTAAGGAGTTGCGCCAAAAAAATCTTGAAAGGAAAATTTAGAACATATTTCTCCTTGATGCTATAAAAAAGAAATATTCTAGATGTAATAATGTTTTCACTATAAAATTATTTATGTAATTTATGAATTATCACTAAATTGAAAATATAGTCAGCTCAAAACTCAGGTTGTCAGTTAAAATTTATTCTAACAAATGATAACTATAATAATATCACAATTTCTGATATGAACATAAAAATGAAAGAAAAAGTAGTGTGAAATGGTTCTTACCTATCTTCCCACAGTACAAGTAGCAGTTTAACACATTTAATTTTGTTACACATGCTTCTAGATTGATGCCTATTTTCCATTACAAAAGTCTCAATAAACTTGGAATTACATGTACTGGTATTTTGTACATTTATGCAGATGGGTATTCCCCCCACTGTCCAGTAAGAATGCATTGATTTGATATGCTAAATAAATGTGATGTTTACATTCATTTAAAAAATAGGTGTTTTACAGTCTTTTGAAGACTTTTGCTGGCACAGTTACCAACCAATAAATTATTGAGTAGTTGACTGTGTAGTCGCACAGCTGTATTTTATGAACTCTATAATCATAATAATTAACTTCTTTGAAGAGAGCAGTCACATGGTTTAGGTTTAGAACATATAACATGGACATAACTGAGATGTATTTTCTTTATTTAAAATTGAACTTGAAATTAAAAATGCTTTTTGTCAATTTTTAATATTTTTAAATCCTGTATTACTAAGCCAAAATGACCTTTGTTGTATACATTGAGTAAAATATTAGGATGTTTATGTTATTTATATTCAAATCCAGGCAGCTGCATGATGAATTTTTGCTTGACCACAGATTTATTTTTTAGTCATTTGCATGGTTTTATTTTAGATGTAATTTGAAGCGTTATGTGTTTACTCATTTGGTAATTTCATACGAGTATTACGGGGTTAAAAAGTTTGAAAAAAAAATAGTGAAATATGTAGTAGCTCCTGGAAGTGCCCCATAAATATAAATAAAAACTCCTTTTTATTTGAGCGTTTAAACAGATACTGTGTGCATGTTTTTTTTTTATAATGCAGATGCAATTCTGTAGAGATGCTGGACTCTGTTGGGTTGGTACAAATTTAATAATCTCTTTGCAGATTTCCAATTACATTCCCAACATTTGCCAATGTTAGTCTATACCGGCAGCTTTTCTTTATATAAATGTATATTATTTTTACTATGATTCTGAATAATATCGTAAAATGGATAGAAAATAAAATTAACGCAACTTTCATAGGAACGGAAGCTGGCTTGTTAAGTCCAATCTAATTAGATATAGTAAAATGGCGCTACTGAAAAATGTACTGTCTCGGACCGTCAGTTGTTGGTTTTCAATGATTGTCGTGTCTTAGAATATATTTAGGGACATGAAAAAGCCTCATTATAAAGATTTACATATGTATATAAATAATTGTATGTAAGACATTCAATTTTGTTTTCTTGGAAATTTGCTTTAATTTCATGTACAAGTAAGATAAATTTTTCATCAGTTGGAAAAAATTTTAACTGAACTTTTTACCTGACTCATCAGGGAGTCATAGAATTTCGCTAAATGTCATTTCATGAAATTTCTCATGTTTTCAAATCTAATTCTATGGTCAAAGATTTAATCGTTTTGTTATGTAGCTTTCCGATGTTAAAAGAAATCGTATGAAAACACCAAAGATCACTAAGGTGAAGCTGCAGAAGATTGCTCGGAGGTAGCTGGAAATAAAAATAGCTCTGCCATCATTTTTCTTATTCCCCCTAGGATTCCAAAATAATCAACATGTATCCTGAATTTGATTGACCCCCACAAGGCAACTGATTCATGTTAGAATAATTGCTGACATGTGGTAATGAAACCAAAATGAAATGCACATGTCAGAATTTTCATTACTGATGTTATTAGTACATTTTTTGAATTATTATTCAGAGCATGTTGCAATTATTGTGCAAATGAGCCCCATATATCTAGTAACATTAAAAATTATCGATATTTTTGTTCAATATTAGTTTTAGATGTTTGAAATAGATGAAGCAGCTTGCGTTAGCTGATCATTTTAAGGCACACGCGATGATACCACTGGTTTAAGGATTACATTGCAGGGTGTCAAGAGAATATTGAAAAATGTTCAGTGATGCGTTTTGGAAGAACTTGTGTTACAACGATAATGGAGTTGATAGTGTGTTGACGGAGATTACCGGCTTGATATGCCCTCTATTGATTTGTGCTGATTACCATGCACTACAATGGAAATATTTGACATCTGCTACATCCATGTACAAATGTACAAAGCCATGAACCTGGACTAATGTTGATAGGGATTAGTTTTATACATTTTAAAGGGAGACTGAATGGGGTGAGGGTTTTTTGAGTGACATGCACTTGAATCCTTAGACAATGTATTGCCAACCATATATCAATTTTAAGCCTATTTTTCTTCCTGACATATTTAACTCATTCATTCATGCAGTGCAAACAATCTATCAAAATGCCTTCATTTTCATTTGTTACAATGTGGTTATTAAAAAAAATATTCTGTAAACTCTTGAATGTTCACCACTAGAAATGATTTGTTCATTTAAGGTCGTTTTGGTGACTGAATTTCTTGAAAGCCAGCGCGATTTCCCGTTAGTTCCACCGAATTACACAATTTTTTTTCACATATTTGTGTCTCACAATATTGTTTTTGTAGATTGTAGTCATGGTGCAGGAATCTTTGTATTGAAATTTACTGTGGAAGGAGAAATATTCACTGTTTTTATTAATTTTAGCTTTACAATGTAGCTCATTTAGCACTGAAAAAATAAAACAAAGATTTCAATGGAAATAGTCCATTAAAAAAAATGCCATGTTCAACTCAATAATGTGAAATTCTTAAAACACCTAATGTTAATAAATGTTTTGGTCCTATACAGGTATTCGGTCAAATACACATAGAAGGATGACCTTGAACTCGAAGTACCCCCCCCCCCCAATAGATGTAGTGGTGTTGCTAATGGTTATTTTGACAACTATAAATTGCTATGTTTTCACTTGAAACTTGTTTTCACTATGAAGGAATAATTCAATAAAAATAAAATAAACATACATTCCAGTCATATTCTAATTTTTTGCATTCAATCATTGTTCTACCAATCTACTTGTATTAGTGTAAGTCAAAGTAAAGCAACTTCACTTAGATTCTGATCATCTGACTTCTTTCCGCCTTCCAACCAGGATTTAACTAAACTGGAGCCATGTATTTATATATGTATTATATGTGCAGAATTTTGAGTTCATTTCTATAAATGGTAGACTAGTTGTCTGATGTTTCACTCTGGCTATATTGTCCCACTCGTAATTTTCTTTGAACTCTACGATAATTTTTAACCAAATAGACAAAAGATGGTAGTGCTTATAGATTTTGAATTAAATGCCATTTTACATTAGACAATGCTCCAAGCAATGCGTGATGCATTGCCAGTTTACTGATGATTTGATTTGTATGTATATGATATCAATTTTTAGTTGTCTGTTGCCATAGTAACATAGTACATAATAGTTATTGCATCGCCATTTTAAGTAACATTTTTCATAGAACTAGTTTTTGATTGGAACTGTTTTCTGAAAGGCAACAGTATTTGACAATAGTAGTGAAAACCATTAAGAGATGGTAAGTCTTATACTTATTCATCCAACGCTTTTACTATGTACACAGATTACTACCAGCCATACG